AAAAGTACTGGCACTAGTTGTCAAATAGAAATCCATTTTATGATTGAAACAACTGAATATCTCCTGTAATATAGTTTATTTCGATTCCATATTTTTGTCAGAGCTATAGTTCTCATAACCAAACATAATTACAAAATTTCAACTAGTTTCATTAAAAATAACGAAAGATATAATCGACTGAATACATCAAAATGGATTTCTATTCGGACAACCCTTTCTGAGCGCTGATTGGCTAAAATACGAACACGAGATCACCTGGTTTCATTGGCAAGACAAGGACTATCTATTGGTGGTGGACTACTACAGTCGATATTGGGAAGTGGTCAGACTCAGAAGTATGAAGGCTGAATATGTCATAGCTGAGTTGAGAAAGATATTTTCACGTTATGGAATTCCAGAAGAAGTGATGTCAGATAATGGTCCACAGTATGCTTTACGAGAGTTCCAAGAGTTTGCAAAGACACGAGAATTCAAACACGTCACATCAAGTCCAAGATATCCTAGAAGCAACGGTTTAGCAGAAAAAACGGCACAGACGGTAAAGAAGTTGTTATCGAAGGCTTTAAGCAGTCATCAAGATCCATAACTGGCCATTCTGGAAAACCGAAATACCCCAGTGGACGGATTCGCAACTCCAGCTCAACTACTAATGAGTCGAAATTTGAGATCAACGATTCCCGCAGTACCTACCCATTTCAATCCCGAAATTGTGGATGCACAAGAATTTCAAGATAATTGTGAAAAAGTACAGCAGCAACAGAAAAGATATCATGATAAACACGCCAACAGTCTTCCTTCACTCGAGGAAGGGGAACACGTTCGAATGAGATACGGGAAGAGTTGGAAACCTGTACCGAACCACGTAGTTATATCGTGCAAAATCCTGAAGGACGAAAATATCGAAGAAATCGAAGTCAGTTGCTCAAGTTGAACAATCAAAGTAGCTGGCAATTTAAAGATAGAGAAGAAGAAAATAAGGTAACAGTAGGTTTAGGTAATGAAACGGACAGTTTAATTCAAGCCCCAAAAGTTTGGACAATCGAAAGAACCGAGTAAATCTTATATAACTAGAAGTGGCCGTGTAACGAAACCACCTCAACGACTAATCTATAGTTAGTAATTGTTTCCAAGTAGAGTAATTCGAACATTTGAACATTCAACATAGTAATTCGAACATTTTTTAAGAAACTGAAAATGTACAAAAATATTATGTAGATTTAAATAATTGGCTTAAAAGCAGGCTGCTACTAACTCTTGACGAGGGGCCTTCGCTCGAAACGTCGAGTTTCTGCTTATCTTTTAAGGTAGTAATATTACCACTCAGCACAGCATTTTCACTTTGGTACTACCTACACTGGTACAGACAGTTTTAGTACATTATACCTATAGCCGGTTTTCCACTAGCGAATTTTTTCGCGCGAAGCGCGTTTTTTCGCCGTTGCACATGCGTGTTTTGTCAATTACGTAAATGTTATATGGAGCGAAAACTCGCCAACGTCTCGCCGCGGCCGAGAATAGGAGTTCGGATGGTTTCTACTTTTTCGCGGCGAATTAAATCTCTAGCCAATCACATTTCAGAATTTTTAACTCGTCTGTCATCTTCTTTGGAAATGGCGGATACTCCAGATACTATTGTAGCTCGGTGTGGGATGGCCTTGGTGAAACGCTTAGTAGTAAGATACAAAAACTGCAGAACCGAGCAGCAAGGGTCATTATGAGGGCAAATTATGACGCCAGTGAGGGTATACTTCTTGATACCCTGCACTGGGACAATCTTTCTTTGCTTCGCAAAAAGCTCAAAGCTGGTCTAATGTTTAAGACGCTAAAAGGAAATATGCCTTCTTACGTCCAAGATATGTTTTCTTTTCGTGGCACTGGGTACAATATAAGAAATTCCGAAATATGGTTAAATTTGCCAAAGCCACGAACGAATTGCCTAAAACGAAGCTTTTGCTATAGTGGGGCAGTTCTTTGGAATAGTCTTTCCCAAGATACAAGAAAACTACAATCATTTGCCCAATTTAGGAAAGCAATAGCGGAATATTATTAATAGTAACTAGTAATTTACCGGACTTCCACACGGCAATCTTGTTTATATTTATTTAATTTATCATACTTACCATTTGTAAACTGAAGATTTTTACCGTGTTTAAACAAAATTGTACTGTGCTGTACTGTGCTGTGCTGTGCTGTGCTGTACTGTACTTAGCAGGGAGTGTGTGAAAATGGTGATGTTTGCGGCATTTTAAACGTTGATATTGACCCCTAAAAATGTACAAATGAGGCTTCAAATCCTCAACAGTCGTTTCATTTTGATAAAGAAGTCTTCCTAGAAGTAGTAAGAAAATATAGATGAAACTCTCCTTTTTGTTGCTTTCTGCATACATACGGCGAATCCAAAATCGTTTCTTGTACTTTAAACGTCGTTTTTGGCGTAGTTGAAGAAACAACAATCTTAATAGGTTATTTCGTAACAACAAAAGTCTTCTACGATTCAATGCCGCCATTTTGTTTTAAATTTGATTATTTGCGCGATTTTCCTATTCCTCTATTTTTCGATTGCTCGTGGAAATCAAACCACCTTTTGCGCGACAATTTTCGCAGGAAAAAACACGCTTCTCGAGAAAATATTCGCACGTGGAAAACCGGCTTAAAGCAAATATATATAGCGCCAAAGCGCCTGGGACCAAGGCGTGCGCGTGCAATCGCATGCTACGCACGCTATCCTATCCCACGTTTACAGTTATCCATCTATCTATTGATAATCATTCCTGCGAGGGAAATTATGAAAGGACGAAAATCTATTTAACGCACCGTAATTAAACAAATTGAACAAGTTATGTTCTTTTCGTAATGCCTCGTTTGCGAGCTGTTTTCTGTGCTTTAATGCTTTCTAAGAAATTTGCGAGAACAACTAAACACCACACAAAAAGAAAGTTCCCCCCTAAATATATCTTCAAACAC